TTTTATTTAAAAGTTTATTATATATGAAATAAATTTTAACTCTTCGCAATTCATGTCAAAATTCTGCTTTACCATTAATTCGGCCTCTAATAAATCAAATGAGACCGAAGAAAAATTTTTTCGCCTAATCATATTCATTCATTTCTGAGCCAGCATTTGAATGTAGAATTAAAAATAAATTTTTAGATATTTTTTAGGCTTATATTTACATTTTATTTAATTCTTTCTAAATATTCTAACTTGATCGTATCATTCAAAATCAAAGGTTTAAGCTATTTATATCTATAATTACCATAATAGTTTGATAATTCTGAGTAACTTCTTTATACGCTTCAACTTGTGTATCACAGAGGAATAGACAAGATTTATATATTTTAATATCAGCGCCGTTAAATTTGGCGACTGAATAGTTCTACGAACTAATTGTAAATTATATCATTATTTCTTGCTTTATTTGTACCAATTGAGTATTTAAACGAGTATAGTAGCTCGTAAAAGGAAAAAACTATTAGTAACAAAATTTTGGCAAATCTATGATTTAAGCGACGGAAATAATTTATTCAGAAAATTTTATCGATGTTCCGTATTAATTATAATTTAATTCGTTTAATAGACAGTATAAAGAAAAAGTTTATTAGCAAAATAAGAAAAATTGCTTAATTTAGCATTATTGATAGAATGGAAAATAGCTGGTCTGCGCTAATATTTATTAATTATTCAGTCATTTTTTTCACACACAAAAAGGTAATCGTACTATAAGAGAAATAAAATCTATATCTCCCATTAAAGCGTAAAACCAACCAAATTTCTGGAAGCATTTAATCTGGAACTTAAATCAATAATTGAAATTTATTACATTGATTCTTCAATTCATTTGGTAGATAGTTTTTCGACAAAATAAGATAAAATTGCCACGATTGACAACATGCGAAAAAAACAAATATTTTTGGGTGAGCTCATACCATAGAAATGCCAGATTAGTACGTTGTTAAAGTATCTAGATACAAGTATTTAGATACTGTATCTAGATATAAAAATGTAGCATCTGTATCTGTATCTAGATAGATTTTTTAGAAAGGTATCTGTATCTAGATATTTTTTTAGAGGTATCTGTATCTGTTTTTAGATACTTTTTAAGATACATTTTATATACCCCTTTTTTATTATAAATAAAAATATTTGACTGTAAAATTTATTTTATTTCATATGAGCTTATGAAATAAATAAATATATATATATATTATATATTAATATTTATTAATACTATAATAAAGAATTATATATACATAAAATATTAAAACTTATATATAAAAAATATATATAAATATTCATTAATTTAAATATTATGTCCGAGTTTATCAATAAACCATAGAAATTTTAATATTACAATATGGAAATGGTAAATTTTATTTTATAACTAAATTTTTAAGTTTATATATTTATTTAGATCTATATCGATGAAGAAGAGGAAGCAACAACAAGTTCTATTGCTTTACCATGGCCAATTTATAGAGCATATTTTAAAATAATATCTCAAAACAAAGAAAACAATTCTCTGATGGTAAAATGTTTGCCGTGTCTACCTAAAAATACAAAAATATCCGTCAGTATGACTTCAACGTGCAATATCGTGAAGCACATAAGGGTATAGATATTATATATTTAAAATTCTAATTTAAATTTTAAGAGAAAACATCCAACCTTGTTAACAAAAATAAAAAAGGGGAAGGAAAATAAAACTACTAAAGAAAATATTTTACAAGGCTCATCCTCCAATAATATTTTTGCTAAAAGACCTTTGATTTTAACTCAAGGCACTTTAGATGATTTAATTATTGCTTTTATTATATATGGCATGCAGCCATTTTCAATTGTTGAAAATCCTTCTTTTAAAAAAATGATCAACACTTTGACTCCACACAAAAATATAATTTGCCGACAGACAATTGTTGGTAGAATTTCCCAAAGATGGGAAAATGAAAAGAAAGAAATAATTAAAAGCCTTATAGAACCATCATTAATATGCACAACAATTGTTGAAGTGCCTATCGTAGGTATAGCTAACATTTAAATTTGTATAATAATTAATTAAGAATAAAATATTTCAGCAATTATAAGAAATTTTAATTTTTAGTTCATACATAGGAGTAACCGCTCACTATATAAATCCAATAAGTTTGGAAAGAAAAAATATAGCGTTGACTTGTAAAAGAATGACTGGTAGTCATACATATGATAAAATAGCAAAAAATTTACAAGATATAGCTAAGGATTATTGCATTCAAAATAAAATTTCAAAGACCATTACAGATAATGCCAAAAATTTTATAAAATGTTTTAGGTTTATTTTATTATAAATAAATATAAACATAATATATGATTGATTACTTAATTTATTAAAGAGTTTTCAAGCCAATTGAAAATAATACATGTGAATCAATTGATGATCTGGAAGATGAAGCAGTTGTGCCAATTTTTATATCAAATCTTTATAATACTGCACAGGATTCTGAATTATCAGAATCATTTAGTTTACCTCATCACCAATGTTGTGCCAGTCACACATTGAATCTTATAGCCACTGTGGATGCCAATAGAGCAATGCAGTGTAAACAATATCAGAGGGTAAAACTAATTTTAATTAAATAAGTAATATTTTCTTCATTAGATATATAGCACAACACTACATAAATGCCAAAATATATGGAATAGGCAAAATAAGTCTCCTATTTCATCTGAGATTATTAAGGAATATAATGGTCGTTATTTTATATGTCTTAATATAACTAGATGAAACTCCACCTATAATGACTTACAATTAATGTCAGAAATTATAAAAGCTAAATCTGACAAAGTGGACAAGATATATGATGGAATAAAACTACCTAGGTTTTTACCTAATAAATGTGATTTTAATCATGAATATTATTTAGTAAGTTATAAATAATATTTATATATATATAGCATTATTTTAAATTGGCTAATGAAACCAATAGCTAATTCCCTTGATATTTTGCAGGGAGATAAGTATATGTACACAGCTTATTACTGTGCAACTATTTCACAACTTATTATCAAATTAAAGAATTTTAAAGGAATGAACCTGAGATTCTGTTTACCACTCTTAGATGCCTTACTTAAAGGGGTTGAGGATAGGTAAATTAATATAATAAATTAAAAATATTTAATAATTCTAGGTTTATTGTGACCTTATCTGAAGATGATAATATTATAGCAACCATGCTCCACCCTTTTTTTAAACTTGATTGGACATGGTTGCAAATGGAAGAAAATCTTAATAAAGAAAACAATTGATACAAAGATTAGCTGGTGAATTATCAAAGTCATCAACTGACTGCAAGCAAATAACCTGCCAAAAAAACAAATAATTTAATTTCAGATTTTTTTCAGTACCCTACAGCAGATATAATTTCTAATAATGATTTAAATTTTGATAATCAACAAATTTTAAATAATTTTTTCAAAAATGAATGTAGAGATTTTAGCATTTTTAAAGAATACCCTGATATAAAATTGTTATTTATTAAATATAACACTACAATTCCTTCAAGCGCCCCTGTGAAAAGACTATTTAGTGTTGCTAAAAATGTCTTTACAGATAAACGAGGATGCCTAAATGATCAAAATTTTGAAATATTTTATTACTGAAATCTAATAATTATTTATAATTATTTAATCATATATTTTCATATATTATATTAAAATCATTATTTTAGTTATATTCTGATAAATGTTATATTGCGTCAATAAATTTTTTAGCTCATTTCATGAATTTTCACAATATAATATTAAGTTAAGTTTATGCAAACCTATAAGAGCATAATAAAAATTGTATCTGTATCTTGATAACTTTTTAGACGCTGTATCTGTATCTAGATAACTTTTGAGACTATGTATCTGTATCTGTATCTAGATCCATTTAAAAAGTATCTTTTATTCCATCAATCAGTTTTTCTAGTCAATAAACAAAAACTAGTTTTAATAAGAGAAATAGACAATAGCAACCTTTAAGTATGAACAGGGTTGATAGTTTTATTGAAATGACCTTAATTTTGTTGAAATAGCTGGATTTAGGTCTTAAAACATTAATGATAGCCTTGCTCATTTGTTCTACAAGTATAATTTTCATTTATATTAGAGTCGTTAAATATTATGGAAAAAAGAATCTACAAACATTGTGATGATAAGTATCTCTGTGAATGTTGTACTACAAGATAAGTACAATTGCCGCAACTGTAGTTGCATCTGTATTATATCTTATTTTGGAGTACCTTATTATGTATTTAAACGTGATACTTGATAATTAAGCGCCTATCCCTATAATGTTATACATGGGGGTTAAAGCCCTTAAATTTTTAAAATATTTTTGGACTTTATTTTTACAGAAAAATTAAGTGAACCCCCCAAGAGTAGTTTAAATATTATCCTCCTCGCCTTTTTATTTGCAAAAGAGGATATCATGTTAATACAATCTAACAATGAAATGTCATTTTCGATTGAGAATTGCGCTATGCCGGATCTTAAGTAAGTCTTAATTTACTTTGAATTCTGAGAAGTTGGGTTCAGCCGATGTGATGCTAATTGGTATAGTTAGAATAATCCTAAAAATAATGAATATATTTTTAAGGGCTTCATGTCTATTAAATATGGAGCAAAATTTATATTTATTAAAATTTTTAATTCAGTTAATAACTTTAAAATATTTAATTAATTACTATTCTTTTATGAAAAATTTTTATATTTTGGAAATAATATATTAAATTATTTTATTTTTAAAATTTTAAAATGCATCAAATAAAAAAATCGTAAGTAGCCAATTATACTTGGACAAGTGGGATTCAAAAATTCAAATGGGGACAGATATTAATTATAAAATTTAGATTTGAACACATAATATTGAAATATAAGTGTCATAATCAGCTGGTTAATCTAATTTTCTTGGGCATCAATTTAAATATATATGGGGGTCTATTTGGGTATAAATTAGATATACAAATATTTTCTGGCATTAATATTTAGCTACCTCAAGGTGTTAAAATTTTATTAAGCTGGGGGGAGGGGGTGCATTGCTGACAAAAAAAGATGGCTTACCAACTCTCAATAATTTGACTTGGTCTTCGATGGGTAACTCCATAAAATGCGGTATATATTTGGCCCATTCGACTAAACAGAACAATTGTTTATCAGCAGCTTGGCATATATTTGTCACTGCATCTTTCTGAATAAATAAATAAAATAGTTATAATAGATAAGGGATTCTAAAAAAATATAGAGAAATGCATTAATTATGAATTTATTAAATGAGATGATAATGTGTAAAGTTACATTTTTAATTCAGACTTTTAAAAAGAGACCATCCGGTTCTTTAGTTATTACTATAATTTTTTGTGATATTTTTCATTTTTATTTAACAACTTACCAAGAAAATTATTGCGGCTTGCTCAACTTACCACCAAAATTTCTTTGATTCAATCAATGATATTCCTGCACAACAATCATTAATACAAGAACATTATTGCGGCTTGCTCAACACTAACTTACCACCAAGATTTCTTTGATTCAATCAATGATGAAAATACTTATCTCAATCATATATAGATTTAGGTTAATTTATCTACTTGATCATTATATTTAATTTTAAAAAAAATTTTTTTTTTTTAACATTCTAAAATTCCACAACCATCTCTCAAATTTTAATACATATTTTTCAAAAAATATAGATTTTAAGTTAGTTTGTATTATATTTTTTAAAATATAAATTTTTATTTAAACATTACTCAATTATTTAAACCCTAATATTCATGAATCTTGATACAACAAAATTTAAATTTTTAATTTAATTTTATAATTTTTATTTTTTTAAAATAACATTTTTGGAATTTCAGAAATAAGTCATTCATTCATATATACCCCCTCCTCCTTTTTTTTCTTCTAAAATGGGTATGTCAAGCATTTGTAATGCCTGCCATAAATTTTGACCCAAGCTATTTGTTTTTATAAACATGGGCCCAGGTCAAAACCATGTATAAACTGGTAAACCCCCTTCAAATGAAATTTTGTACAACAAAATTGAAACAACCCCCATTGTAACTCAAAATTTTTATCCTGATTTTTATGATAATTTTTTAAAGTGGGAAAAGCCACCAACCTTAATCCACCTACCCCTTAAATCAAGGTATTTAATTTCTAATTTTTTGACAACACTTATTATGGAAGTTAATTCAAATTTAAATTCCCTTAAAGCTTGGGAGAATCTTTTAACCTTTCCTTTTAAAGTCTTAATTAAACCTACAGATAAAAATAAAAAAACTATTTTGCATGAATGTATAAAATATAAAATAGACCATTTTTATGACTTAGAAATGGAAAATTACGTTCCTGGTGTAAGGGCTACATCTGATTTTGCCCATAAATGCAAAATTATATCAAAAAAAATAGACCAAGGGGACGTATGTGGAGCTCTTAAATTAGCTTCATCTAATGATAAATTGGCTCCATTTGATGAACATACTTTTACTTTATTAAAAGAATTGCACCCTCAGGCTTTTCCTGAAGATTTTCCCATCCCTATAAAATCTAATTTAATCGAAATAGGTAAGGAAAAATTAATTAAAACAGTTTTATCTTTTAATAAAAACTCTGCATGGGTAATTGACGATTTTGCGCCTCTTATTTCCAATTTATAATTAACCCTAAAAATCCTTATCAAGATTCATTTGTAAATTCATTGGTAATACTTAGTGGAAATATATTAAACAATGATTTACCTAGTCAAGTTCACCAAATTCTTTTTTGGCTCAAGATTAATTGCTTTTTCTAAGCCTGATGGTGGAGTTCGACCAATTGCAATAGGGTCTTTTTTTAGGAGACTATTAGCTAAGATAATCGTTGAGCGCATCAGACCTGATGCTTCAAAAATGTTCAAACATATCAATTAGGCTTTGGTACTAAAGGGGGATGCGAAATAGCCGCTCACTCTCTTCGCATATATATCGAAGATCCTCCTCCAGACGCCGTAGTCTGTAAGCTTGATTTTAAAAATGCTTTTAATTCTTTATCCAGAAAAGCATTTTTGAATATTTTTTATGAAAAATTCCCAGTTTATGCAAGATTTATTGAACAGTCTTATGGCTGTAGAACCCCCCTCAAATTCGGGGAATATACAATTCCATCTGACGAAGGTATTCAACAAGGAGACCTTTTGGGCCCGGTATACATAACCTAGTTCATTGTCTAAAATCCTTTTTTAATTTAGATTTAAACATATGGTATCTAGATGATGGTACCATTTGCGGACCTTCTAAAAATATTCTTGCAGCGATAGAATATATAGAGAAGAATTCTCTAAACATAGGCCTTACTCTAAATAAAGCTAAATCTGAAATATGCTTTTTAAATTCCAAAGTCCAAGGGTTTAAAATTATTAAAAATAGTGAAATTAATCTTCTAGGTTCTAGGTTCACCTTTAAGCAGTTTTTCCAACTGTGAGGTGTTCGTGGAAAAATTTTTCGAAGGCTTATTAGGACTTGAAACTATTTTAAACGAAATTGCTTCACACCAGAGCTTTTTTCTTTTAAAAAAATATTTATTTTTACCAAAGATTTTACATATTTTTAGATCTTCTTCCTTTTTTTTAAATAATGAAATTATTAATCGTGTTCATGAATTTTTTAGAAGTTTATTAGAAAATATTTTAAATATTAAATTGGAAGATTTTAATTGGGGTTTCTCACAATTACCCTCGAAAATGGGTGGTTTAGATTTATATCCTATAAATCTTATTTCTCTTTCCTCATTTTTGACATCACGTTTGATGAATAACGCCATGATATCTTCTTTTATCTTTCCTAAAGATAACCTTTTAAAGTCAGCCTTGACAGCCTGGGTATCTTTGGCTCTACCTGAAGCTGTCTTACCCACAATCTTAACACACCAATCTATTTTCGAACCTTTAATTATAATTTTTTATATAGAATGCTGACTGTACTAGTGGTTATGAATGGTTGGAAGCATTACCAAGTCGTAACCTAGGTAACCTCTTACCAGATGAACAATTAAGAGTTGCCATAGGCCATCGACTTGGATGTAACATTGTTCAACCACATACATGCATCAAATGTAAAATATTAGTTGATTCCAAAGGGAGACATGGTCTAAATTGTATATATGGTCAAGATTTAGTTATTAGCCGTTCTCTTACCAGGGCCCGAACACCAAACATCCTGGAGCCTACAAATTTATCATTAGATGATGGCTTAACTTCCGTGCCTTGGTCTTTAGGGAAATCCTTAATTTGGGACTTCACATGCGTATCTTCTTTTCCAAAAAATTTAAATTCTAATCCGGTTGATATAGCCGAGAAAAAAAAAAAATTAAATATTCCAAATTCACAAATTATATTTTTACACCGATCGTTATCTCTTCCCTTGGACATATGCCAAGCGGAACTTTAAAGTTCTTAAAAAATATAGGGAATAAGACAAGAGCCCTTACATCAGAACCAAAAGAATTCTATTTTTTAAAACAAAACCTACAAATCACTATTTTAAAATATAATTACTCATGTTTTTTGGGAACTTGTAGTCTCACCTCCGTTTTTATATAATATTGTTTTATTTTATTATTTATATGTTAATTTTAATATTAATTTTATTTCTATATATATTTTTAATTTAAAAATAAATGACATTAGTACAAAAAAAAGAAAATTAATGTGAAACTATAGTTTTGAGTAGGAAAAAAACGAATCAAATAATTTATTATTCGTATTCATACAATAAAATCATTATTCGATTAGTCGAATGTTCGATTTGATTCGAAAATTTTTCTAAAGTTTATAAAAAATATATAATTTGTTGCAAAAAATTTATAAACATATGTAATGTTTTAAGATGACACTTTTAGGGATTCTCTAAACTAATTGTCATTAGCATATAAAATTTACAGAAAATAAACGAAATAAAACCCAATGATTTCATAACGTTATCTAAACAAATTGGCCAAAAATGTCAGATTTTTATAATTAGAATCGCTTATAAAATATATTTAAATTATTTCTTCAATCTAATATATTTATTAAAATTTTCTAAAAATGTACAATAATCTCATTTTATAAACATTAATATATAATACACAAAAAATATAATTATGCTAGATCCGAATTTGATAATAACCAGTTTTTTAAGCATAAAGACTTTCTAATAGTTTCCTCCTTCAAAGACATTCTATTTTTCATAATTGTTCCTATTGAGAACAACCGCTCACATGAAGCCGAAGATCCCTAAAAATACAATATATCAGTTGCCATTTTAGATAACACAGGAAAATGATCCCATGCAATCTCCACCACTCTAGCGGACTTTTATTAGAACTACGATGTTATTTTGTATGGAAATTCTATCCATGTTCGACTGTACTATTGCGCTAACTAATGTTGTATTGATATTATATTTCACTTTGTATTCATTATATACATCCTAGAGTTGTTGTATCTATTTCATATGATGTTGGTAGTTGTTCAAAAAATTCCATTTTTAGTTTAGGATCTAATATTGTTGATATTATAGTATGAATATTTGTTAAGTTATAATAATTTTCTAATTTCTCACGCACTGATAGCGTTTATAAAATTGAGATCAAATGAATTCAAATGTTCGATTAACGACGTGTTCATAACACCAAAAATGATTAAAAAGAAATTATAAAATAAAATAATTATATTTTAGGATGGGGTGTTTCCCTTTCCATAACTTTATACGAAGATATAAATTATATATGATTTGATAATAAGAAATAAAATAAAACGAAATGATATCCACTAGGAAAATTTAATTACTTCATTTTTATTATACTTACAATAAAATATTTACGAAAAATATAGAATATTTATAAATAAATAATTTCGAATAATAGGAATTAAATCGAATAGCAAATAATTCGTTTTAGGCCTAGTCTTGAGGAGACACACAGAGTATAGTAAGCCCTTCCGATACTTTCCCGTAGTTCAAAAAATAAAGACAATCACATATTTATAATGTATTACTATAATATCCATTTTGCGTGGTTTGGTCGACCTTTCCTACTGGGAACCAATATTAAAAACTAAATATTGGATTGCTTTTGGCATTGATTATAAAATCAATAATATATTGGTCATGTGAAATGATTATGACGATGGGAATCAATATTTAAAAAATATCATATACTATTGATCTTAATTTAGTTTTTAAAATATAATACGATTTTTTGTTAATTTGATATTGTAAACTACAAATATATTAAATTCCTAGCCATATGTAGAACTTGGAGCAAAGAGAACGGGATGATTACTTCCGGAACGTTCTGGAAAAAATATATTAAGACGCAAGCTATATCTACAAATATTTTCATGATGTTATATTTAATTTAAATTATTACATTACACACAAGTCTATACTTTATATTTGTATGTAAAAGTAAAACTTGAGGGTGATTAGCTGTTCTATTTTAGGCAGACGCACATAGATGTTAAAATAATTCGTAGTAAATAGAACTCAAATTTGATTCGTTCAAAACTCATGTCATATTAGGAATTCCATGAAGACAAGTGAATTCCAAATGTGTTCTCCACACTCAAGTTTATACTTATCACAAATTACAATTATATATGGCAATCAAGATTGCTTATTGGTGCTGGATAAAAACTTGTAACTTACTTATTAACGAAGTTTATTTTTCTCAAAAATCTGATAATAGCATCACCATTAGTGAAAGTAACGTATTCAAGTAACGCATTACTTTTATACGTTGTTCTTTCTTTACTTAATAATTTATAATATTTTTTATTATTGTTTAAGTTTAATATTTTAAAAATTACATAAATAAAACAACAAATATAATAAAAATTTTAAAATAAATACAATGCGTATTCCATTTCATTCTTTTTCAGAGGTTATTTTTTTTGTTGGATATCTTCATTTATATCAGAGTAGAGTTAGTGGGGATAATATTAATTGTGAACTATCTTTATCATTATCTTAAAAGCTAAATGAAGAAAAGAAACATTATTTGCTTTCTTTTTTGAGGAAAGATGTTGATAAAAATAAGACACATATGATATAAATTTGTGCTAAACCCGGTTCATTTTACTTTCCCATTTGTATGAAAGTATTTGACTCATTTTCATGATAAGAAAAAATGTCTTTTAATGAAGATATGTCTGACGATGTGACTGGTGGATGAAATGTTAAATTTCTTCAAGAATAATTCTTAAGAAAACCTTAAACAATTTCTAACTATTAAAACCATGTTTATAAAATATAACATACCCCTGCTATTCTCAGAACCTATTGAAGGGGTGTTCAGTTCGGCAAAAGCGATGCTTCGTGATAAACAATCATGTTTATTCAATAAAAACTTCGAAAAGCAATTACCATATATATAAAAAATAAATATCAATATATTTAATTTATAATCATATTATAATAAAAAATTATGTGCCATTATTTATTTATTTGAATTTTTGGTAAATACATATTGATTGATGAAATAAAAAGAAATTGTAATCTTATTTCATAGTAATGGCTTCGGGAGTTGTTAAAAAAAAGTAAAGTACCACGTTACTTTAAAAAAAAAGTAATGTAAGATTAAGACGTTATTATTGTTAGAGAGTAACGTGAAATGTAGTAACGTTACCGTTTGAGTAACGTAGACAACTCTATACATTAATTAATTCTTTTAAATAAAGCATACTTGAGCATCAACAAACGAATCGCCACAATTGTCAACCCTAAGTTCGGCTTCCAAAATCTGCTCAATAGGCATATCGTTGTGGGCTGAGCTACTAGGCTCAACTTCGCTGTCGTTTTTCTTTCGTTCTTCTTGAACCGCTTATGAAATTGGTTTATATAGGATGTCAATAATTAATATATTTTATAGAAAAGTTTAAAATTTTTGATAAGTGATAATATAATTTTCAAAATTCTCATTTCTAATTGATTCTGTTTATTTATTTAAAAACTAAAGGTTAAATCATGATTTTTATCAAATTAGGTTACCTTCTCTTTTCATTCCCATTACTAAGCATTTTTGATAACGACAAAATTGGCATCGATTTCTTTGTCTTTTGTCGATTACGCAACTTTGGTTTTCACGACATGCGTATGTTAATTCCTTCCTAACCGTTCTCTTGAAAAAACCTTTGCAGCCTTCGCAACTAATAAAACATTCGATGAAATTAATGAAAAGCTTAACGTAACATTTTTGTGGCATAAGAAAAAATATTATTAAAAAAATTGCGGACTTTTTGGGTTGATCTTGCAGACCTCTAAAATTTTATTCGTTAAACATATTAGAATTTTATTCACATACTTCCATTTAAAGATGTATATGAGTGCAGTGAGATTTATGGTATTACATGCAAATAAATTGGCCTTGCAAAAATCATGATTTTTTTAAAAATATTTTAAATCGAATTGAATAAATCGCGATTTTTTAAATTTTATTTAAATCAAATTTTATAATCCAGCGAATTTATTACATCAAAAAAGAAAGAAAGATTCTTTCAGATTATTTTAATAAAATTAATTCACATATATTAGAAATAATGTTTATAAATTGTATCTAAATTAATTTTAGTATTAATAAAATATATAGAATAAAAATTTCTTAAACAGGACATATATATTTTACATACAGAGAATTTGATATCACCTTTAATAACAATTAGGGCTGTGCTGATCCAGATATTTTTCACCGATTTATATGATTTTTCACCCTCCCCCCCCCCTTGAACAAAATGTAATTAAGAAATCAATATTTTTTATGCAAAAAATCGAAATATGCATTTAATTATAAATATTTTTATTTCTACAATAATTAAAAAAAGTTTAAGGATATTGGTAGTACTAAATTCATTATCCCTCTCCGTGAAATTAGAATTCAGCAGATAACACATTTTGCAAAAAAATTTTTTTTTAATATTTCTATAATTCAGATACCATATTTAAAAAAATTATTTTATTTAAAGTATAAATAATAAAATTGGCGTTATTATTTAAAGATTTAAAATAAATAAAACTTTGGTAAAATTTAAGGGGTGTTGTGCATTTGCATTGTTTTAAAAAAAATTATTTAGAAAATATTATTAATGTAAAATAGATATACATAAAATAGTAAAAAAAAAGAAAAGTAAAAAGATCGGATTGGGTTTTTACAGGTAACGGCCCGATCCGATATTTTTGAAATATCGGCACAGCCCTAATAACAATAAATTTAAATAATTTTACGATTGCAACTATACAATGGCGAAGACAGAGTTTTGGGGTTGAACCCTCCCCCCCCCCCCCCCACGCATCATGGAAAATATAATAAGGTAAATTTTCGGTTTTCATAGTTTATAATGAAATCTAGACGAAAATTTGCTTTCAATTTCTATAAAATCATTCTCAGAAATTTTATCTCTAATTTAAAAAATGGGTGAGAAAATCCTAAATATCTATGGAAAAACAATACTATATGTAATTTTTTAATAAAATTTTCACATAAATATATTTTGTTATAAATCATATAAAAATTGAAAAACGTTAAAGTAAAGATATTTAGATTAGATCTTCTATATTAGTCGTTCTAGCATGATGCCAATTTTTTCTATTTTATAAATAACTTTTTTCCCCTTTAAATGCAACTAACAGATTAAAGCAATAAAATGTACTATTAATCACTACTTAATAGCTATAGTATAATTTCAGAATTAGTGTTTCCAAGAGTTTGATTCACTTCAGGCTTAAAGGGTGATGTCATGGTTTGCATTTTGTTAATAAATTACTTTTTCATAAAACATAATTTAGAAATTAATAAGAACTATTCAGTTACTAGATATTTAGTAATCTCTATTTTCTATTTTGACATTATATCAATTTTGGCATTTTTTAATTTATTTTTACTAATATCAAATTTTTTTTCTTTAAACTGTCTATCAAACGGATTAAAAAAAATATTCAAAATTTTTAGAATAAATGCTAAGTCGCTTTTTCCTGGTAAGGTTGGCCAAAATTTAGTTTCGATTAGCCTTTTCCTGTTTATTGGCCACTATACTAGCAAAGGACTTATTCATATGCACTAATAAAGCACGAAAATAGCAAAGATTTTAGAATTAGTGCTTCCAATTGTTCAATCGACTTTAATGGATATATTAGAATATCTATAAAAAAGCAAAATAAAATAACTATGAGAAAATCAAATATAATTGACCTGATTTTTCATAGGCGGAACTAAGTAGAAAGCTCTACATGTGAGATTTTAAAGCCGAAACCTTCACTTTTTTTAGTAACTCCCCCCCCACTGGATAAATTCTGCCTTTTAGTTAGTTGTTAAAAAATATCCCCCTTTTATAAAATAAAAAGTTCAATTTATGCGTACTATAACTCAGGTTCCCCGTATTTTTTAAAAAGGTTGTCAAAATATTTTCATATGAATTATTTTATATTTTAAAAAAAAGAGAATTATTAAAATCGAATATGTATAGTAAATTTTAGTATTCGTACGATTGCAAATATTAATTCCTTTAAACGAATTGAATAATGCACTTTTCCATTTATATTCGTTCTTGAATAGGCCTTCTTTATATTGAATTAATGGGCTAAATATTTTGGATATAACATATATGGCGTGACTAGGAAGGTACAAAAGCGTCCTAGCCCCTAAGGACGCCTAAATTTAATTTGCAAACAGCATATAATATATTCGAATAAAATGTTTATTTGAGCACACTAAATAATTAACTATAGAAGGCCTAAATGATTGAGCTGGAGAATGCATTGAGTTGAATGACTTAACTACACTGCTCACAATAATATTATCAATTTTTCTTAACATTACATGGCGCTACTGCGTTAAATTAGATTATAATTACGAATGGGTTATAGCCATAAAAATATTAAATGCAGAAATGGGTAACAAAAATAAATGCAAGCGGTAAAATTGTCAAATAAAATGGGGGAAATCGAGTTTATCCAACTTTTTTTAAAATTAAATTTTAAAAAAAAGGGATATAAATAATAGTGAAAAGTAAATAATTCATTACAGCATCAATTTTATTTTAAATACCAACCAATTTTCAAATTTATTGTCAATCTTACACATACAGAGACAAAAAAAAAATTCTTACCTGCATAAAATAAGAAAAAGATATACGAAAAGGTATTACCTTTTATTATTATTACATCATATTATATTATATTTTATTTTTTAATAGGGTTGAAAAAACCTGGGGATAATATATTTAAAAAATATTATATTTTCGTATTATTTATTAATTTCCATTATGTAATTTAGACTTCCCTACATAACCCCCCCCCCCCCCCCTAAAAAATGACCAGTAATTGGCCCACTGCTATTATGTTTTTAAGTGAATATGTGGTTTCCTATCATAAATTTAAATTTACACAAAAAGTGTTAATATATTATATTTTTTGAATAAGAATTATGAATAATCGCTAATTTTGCTAAAATAAATTGATATAAAAAAGAATACTTATGTCGAATAAGATCGTTTGATTGATAAGTCAACTTAAAATGACAAGAATATAATAGGAATGTTTATTTATTTTGGCACATATGAAAATTAAATTTAAAATAAAATATTTCTATAAAAATCCTCAATCAAATTATGGGCAAATGAACATTTATCGTAGAATTTTCTCTAGCGTATAAACACATAAAAATAAAAAAAGGTATCTATATATATTTTGAATTTAAGCTGATTAATGTATAAATCAGGGATGTGAACCCTTCGACAAAAAAAAAGGTCCAAGTCCGGGTACAGGAAAATTTTTTAAAAAAGACTCGGGTCCAGGGTTTGAGTCCGGGTTCAGGAAACATAAAAATAATGACTCAAAATAAGATTTCTTTCATTCATTTATTATTATACTTCAATATATACATATTCATAATTTATAAATGTAATTTATATCTTAAATGTTTTATTCAATCGCATCTTCTAAAATATCATCCTTGAGATTTCCACGTAAATTAGACAATATTTCAAAGATGAAAATTTACGTTCTACCCTTACCTAAAATAAATAGTATCTTTATAATTATTGTATTTTTGTCGCCGGTACAGCCATAAAGATTCTAGATAAATTATATAATTCTGGATATATTGAAGAATTTTCTTCCAGAATTTTAAAATATTTGCATCCTTATTTATTCTCTTAACTTCTGTGAACTTTTCTATTAAAGATGCAATAGGCATTTTTTGATCCTCCTTTCTATCTGATAATTTGATTTTTTTTTCTCTATCTAAAAGTAAAATTTCAATCATCAATGCTGTAACATAATTATTATTACACTATAACCAGTAGGTATTGTCGTACCTCCAATAAATAATAGTTTTGCATATGCCATAAATCCTTAAGATGGTCTTTAGCCATTTGTTTTTGCTCAATACTCAATAAAACTTAATATCGAGGGTCTAAATATATAGAAGCGTATACAACATTATTTTGCAAATATTGTTGCTCGAATTTTCATGTTTTCTAATATTTCATATAAAAAGGACTGTATATTTTTCTAGTATTTTAAATTTTTAAAAGGAAATTATGAAATTATTCATATTAAACAGCAATACATAAAGAAAAATTTAGATATTGGCATCTAATCCATATGCCATAAATCAAATAAACATAATTGTTCTGATTGTAATCTTAATATTGTTATTTTTAAAGGAACTAATACGGTCCTTTATTTTCCACCAATCATCTTCCGACAAAATGCTTCACATGCTCCTATAATAAAATCATTACAGAAATCTTTCAAACTTAATAATCGTTCTAGCATCATACAAATTGAGGACCAATGTGTTGTGCATTATCATTTAAATTAAAATATTATTACTTGCACTACAAAATAATCAACGTATTTCTATAACATAGCATATTAATAAATTTACATAATAAAATATTATTACCTACACTAGAAAATGGTTTATGATATCAATCTCTAAATAAAATGGAAGTCCAGGAAGAAAATGGAAAGAAAAACGAGAAGATAAAATAAATGATTCCACAAAAAAAAGAAAATTTTTTATGACACCTTGAACCCTCTACTTTTAAAAAGGGTCTGGGTTCGGGTACAGCCAAAATATGAGGGTTCAGGGTCCGGTTCACATCCCTGGTATAAATTATTTGAAAAAATTGGATCTTAGATTAGATGT